TTCTTAGCACACTTTGAAATACGTTGACTCTTTTCTACGCCTCAAATGTGATAGAAACTGCCACTCTGATTCTCATTAATGCTGGACCATAAATAACGAACCGTTATAAGTTGACAAAATACGGAGGTATCGTATAGGTAAAGAAATTCCTGGAAGCCAAAAACATTACACAAGTGAATTATAAAAACACAGAAATGAGGATACTCGAAAAAATTCTGTAGAACTGCACTACGAGAAGCTTTCTCAGCAGCGTGCAGAAGTACCCAGAGGACTGCCTAAAATTTATTTTAAACATTGACAAAAATTATGCCAGTGATTCTTCCTTCGCGGACGACACACGAGTATAGCATCCGTTCAAACAGGAAGATAATCAGTGTAAATAGTATGTCAATGGCACCCAGAGAACAGTGATAACAGCGATAAATGACACGTACGGTAGGGAAGCAGAGAAACCAAAATTGAAGCAGGACACAAAAGACAATCAAACTCTGTTCCATAGAGTAGAATGGGAATCAGATACAAAGGAGTAATCAAGTCGTAAAACCTTATTTTTAAGGAACACAATGGCATAACTATCACAGGAAAAATAATTAGGTGGTGGGAGATTTTTTTTAGCAGGTAACTGAAAGGTGGTTATTTCTGAAGATACTTCATCCCTCTGAAGATTGGTCCTGTGGTGCTGAATACTAACCCATTTAAAGGCTGGTCAAAGTGCTAATCAGAACATGTGCCAAAAAATTAAATACAGGCAGTCATGTATTCAAATTATGCATGGAGAATACTGGAAGGATCGACTGAATAGCTATCTCCCCGTGATAGGAGGCACCGTGAAATGTATACAAAAGAGCTCCAGTATAAAAATTGGACTGTAATAAATAGGAGGGTATTAGAGGTCCCTAAATTTTTCGTATACAAGAGGAAAAACCATACAAATAAAGGAACTTGTCCGAAATGTTAGCCATGATTGACCTTTGTAAATACATATGAACACGGTTATTCCATTTCAAAATAACCATGTCCCTTGAATAACACCTGATGATTGGTTCTGATAATCTGGTCGGTGAGGTCGTCATGGGGTGGGGGCGTTAGCCCCAGGACCACCACAACCAACAGACAAGAGAGTGACACTTAAGGAGCAAGTTTGCCAGCAGAAGCTGAGCAGCAGCAGCAACAACAGCAACAACAGCAGCAACAACAGCAAGCAACACAACAAAACACAACAACAGCAGCACAGCAACAGCACAGCAGCAGCAACAGCATCAGCAACAGCAACGCATACAGCACTGCAACGCACAGCAATGCTGCCAGCTGCTGCTGCTGCTGCTGCTGCTGCTGCTGCTGCTCTGCTGCGCTGCTGCTGCTGCTGCTGCTGCTGCTGCTGCTGCTGCTCCTCCTCTCTCTCCTCCTCCTCCTCCTCCTCCTCCTCCTCCTCTCCCTCCTCCTCCTCCTCCCCTCCTCCTCCTCTCCTCCTCCTCCTCCTCCTCCTCCTCCTCCTCCTCCTCCTCCTCCTCCTCCTCCTCCTCCTCCTCCTCCTCCTCCTCCTCCCTCCTCCGGAGAGGAGTGGTGTCAGGTGGAGTGAGGTGAGGTCTGCCTCGAGCACCCTCGCATCTACAGTGGAACTGAGACATTTCACCCCCACAGCCACTACGTGCCTGGACACTTTCATCACCATTATCTCGGACGACAGAGCACGTTATACATATTATTTTATGATAAATAACAGCACTACGTTTTCCAAGTGTTCAGTTCCTGCTAAGATTGTACTCATCAGAAGCGGTAAACCCCCTGTGGGTCATTCAGCCCACGGAGTGATGGCGGCTTGAACCTTCCTCCAGCAAACTTTAGACAGATAAGCAGCTTAATCGGACTCAGTTAGCTAGAGCGTTCATACATCACAGGGAAGGTTATTTAATGTTAGGTCGCAGTACGATCAAGTCGTACATTGTATCTTGACATAAAGAATTTAAAAGGAAAATGTTTGATGTTTAAGTTACGGTAAAATACGATGTCTGGGAACAGATAACAATATATTAATCAGAGGGGTTGTTTGGTGTTTATTATTATTATCAAAAGAAGAGTAAACTTACTAGTGATACAACGCTGAGTGTCTGGTGTTGAACATTATACTGGTGATGAAAACAAAATACTATTAACGCGAAGTTTCTCACGCTGTGGATTCAGTAAAGTTCTTGATACTTGATGAAGTTCTCAGGGGATGGAACCTTGTATTAATGAAATATTTCTTTAATACCATCTGTCAGTGTTTATATGAAGCGCTAGTGAATACACTGTTTGCTTTAACCCTTTTAAATTATTCTTGCTATTACTGAGGCAAATTGTGGGTTGAATGACTTGATTTACAGTCACTTCTCCTTTACTCTCGCAAATTAACTTGCCTGGTTGTTTCATGTCGTGTTTGGGAGAACTATGCAATAATTTAGTACACATTTTTGACTACCTAAATTGTTGGCTCATTTTCCATTTCACTGTGAAGACAAGGTTTCCTATTCAAGTAGTTTTCACGCGTGTTGCAATGTTTTATCGGCCTGACAGCCACTCTCTGCCGCATAACTGTGAGCAACAGCATGGAGTTACCAACCCTGCCATAACATACTATGATTGTATAAGTTTCGCCTTTGTTGACAGGGCTGGGGAGGACCATGGTGGTGGTGTCACTGGTCACCACTATTTACTGTATCATGATTCTTGCCTGGACATTATTCTACATGTTCACTTCTATTTAAGCCCATGTCTTTCTACCCACGTCTTTCTACCCACGTACATATGGAGCGACCAAGGTCCAAGGACCGAAGCCTTTTTAATAAAATGTTCGGATGTTTGTCTTGTGTCTTTCTAAATATAGTTAAATATTATTTATTATAGTATAACCTAATCCAACCCGATTTAACCTATATTTACGTATAACGGAATTTCATAAACAAGGGATACCTTTGAAGAGTTTCGAGAGTTTATCTACCTCTGAAGCCCGGCCATGGGCCATGGAGGGGTGGGGAGTGATATCGCCCTTGTTTAAACAGTTGTAAAGCATAAGTTGCTTTATAAAGCTAAAGAACGAGCCGCTCCCTGTATATTCGGCCATTCTCGGAAAGATCTACTCGTGTCTGTTTAGGTTAAGTTATTTTGTTAGGTTATCGTTAATTAGCCACAATTTACTTAACAGCAAATAACCAGTAATATAATCTGCATAAACTGGAGTGTATCCGAGTGTAAGGCATGACAAGCCAACACCTTCTGAACAAGTTATCATAATCTGCTCACTTGACTATTGTTAAGCCTGATCCCTGTAGAAACCTACTTAAAATAGTATATATGGATGTGCTTTGTAGTTAATCATAATCTAGAAGGAAAGTTAGTGTATACACAACTCTACCAATGATTTTTATCGTAATTTTTTCATACGTGTGAAAAAACGAAAGATATGCAAATCACTATTAAGAAACACTTAATCCTCTTTCATATTATTTCTCCAGTTTATTCCAGGTGAAGCAGCCGTACCATATGTTGCAATGATGCTTCTGCTGAATCACTAATGGTGATTTGAATAGCTTAATTTTTAACTTGACTAAAGTGCTAGTAGTCTCTTTATATTTGTAAATTACTTCAATGTTACTTACCATGTTAACCTTCACCTTGTTGTTCTAAACTTTGCTGTAACGTTTGTTTTGATATTGTACGTCAGTATTTGTATTTTATATATATATATATATATATATATATATATATATATATATATATATATATATATATATATATATATATATATATATATATATATTCAACAAACCGGCCGTATCCCACCAAGGCAGGGTGGCCCAAAAAGAAAAACGAAAGTTTCTCTTTTTAAATTTAGTAATTTATACAGGAGAAGGGGTTACTAGCCCCTTGCTCCTGGCATTTTAGTCGCCTCTTACAACACGCATAGCTTACGGAGGAAGAATTCTGTTCCACTTCCCCATGGAGTATATATATATATATATATATATATATATAATATATAATATATATATATATATATATATAATTCATTGAAACTTTTTGCCTACACGGTGTTTGAAGAAGCCTGCCGTGTAGGCGAAACGTTTTAAATAACAAAAAGAGGCACCATACAGTGATTGGAGCAATACACAAATAACCCGCACATCTAGCCAAGACAGGACTCGCAGTAATGGTTTTAAGTTGGGAAAAAATTAGATACAGGAAGGATATAGGAAAGCACTGGTTTGGTAATAGTTGTGGATGAGTGGAACAAACTCCCGAGTACAGTTATAGAGGCTAAAACGTTGTGTAATTTTAAAAATAGGGTGCGGGTGGGTATGAATTGGACCTGGCTAGCTTGTGCTACTAGGTTAGATGCCTTGCTCCTTTCTTAAGTGAATGTCACCTGACCTAACTAGGTTAGGGCATTGGCTTAAGCCGGTAGGAGACTTGGACCTGCCTCGCATGGGCCAGTAGGCCTGCTGCAGTGTTCCTTCTTTCTTATGTTCTTAGAAGAGAGGAGTTTACGACGACGTTTCGGTCCGACTTGGACCATTTACTAGTCACACCAATATGTTAGTATGGCTTTGTAAATGGTCCAAATTGGACCGAAACGTCGTCGTAAGCTCCTCTCTTCTATGTGCGGGTTATTTGTGTATAAAACGTTTTAATCAACACTAAAAATACCCGACTGTTGCATATATGTCCTAGTCATCAACTTGTCAGTATTATGTACCATTTTCGTAATAGCTGACAAGTATGTTAATAAGACATACTACGCAATTTACGTCATACTCGGAAGACGTTTCGCCCACCAGGGACTTCAACAATTCTCACGAGAATTAATAAAAGTCCCATTTTTGACGAAAATTCTTAATAAAATGCCATAAACTGCATACTGTACCTTCAAAATTTTCTTTGTGCAGTATACAAACTTTAGTTTACATATAATACAGTACATACTGTTGAATACAAAGAAAAACCACGAGCATGTGTGAACATTTCTGGCATTAATATGTTTACTTACAGTTGTTGTTTAGGCACCTGTGGGGGAAAATGGGGAAAGAAAAAACCAAAGAGGTGACATCGGTGGAGTCATCAGTGGATGAAGAGGAGAGAGGAGAGTGGGGGAACCAGTGTGAGTTCTTCCTCTCCTGTCTTGGCTATGCTGTTGGCTTCGGCAACGTGTGGAGGTTCCCTTACCTCTGTTACAAGAACGGCGGTGGTGAGTACTGAGTAAATGTTCACTTTGTGTGTTTATACAGGGACGGCTCCAGCATTTCTGTATTTGAGGCTTAGCCACCCCCCTTCCTCTATCTGGTTTGGTGACAGTGAAGAACATAGAGGCACAGTAACTGGAACGGTACACAAATAACCCGACGACGTTTCGGTCCGACTTGGACCGAAACGTTGTCATTTACTAGTCACATTAACACTTGGTGAACGAGCAAGAGGACTCTGGTTTTACAAATCAATAAAAAACAGATGCTATCTTAAGATCATTTTTATATAAGAGTGAGAAAAAAATTATCCATATCAAAAAAATGAAAATTGAACTAAATCACATCAGTATGTTAGCCATCAAAATAATGTTCATCTTGGCCTTATTGTAGCAATGATATATACATTAAAGAACATAAAATATTCATTCTACTCTCAAATGAGTTATGATTTTGGTGGGTCTAGCGTTTGGTTTTGGCTACAATATTCTCAAATGAAAGGCTGAGGGGAACTAAAAGTTCTAGAAGTGTGATACTTCTGTTATGATCGGAAGTATCAGTGATACCTTCAAGGTATCACTGATACTTCCGATATAACTGTAATATCACTTATGTTATCACTACTGCTGTTCAAGCAAGTTTTGGTCAGTCGCAGGCAGGAAAACTGAGTCAACATGCTGCAGAACTAACTGACACAAGTTGAATAACAGATAATATATTCATGAGGGCTGAAGGAAATGTGGGGGGCTTAAGTTCCCTTGTATTACCACTTTATAAAAGTGTTTCCTGATAATCACTGAGTCGCCCAGCTCAGTGTATATACACAGATATACCCCGAGAGGTGTATGTGTGTGTATTTTTTATACACCTTTCATGAGTTCCGTGAGATTCCTCATGATAAATTCACTAGTCTCAATAGTGTTTCTGATATCTTCTGGTAAGATGTTTAATAGGCTGGGGACACGGATGTTAATAGTGTTCTCTTACTGTACCCACGGCGCCCCTGCTTTTCACTAGGTTTATTTTGCGCTTCCTCCCATATCTCACTCCAGTATATACACATGTTTAATTTATTCAAGATAGTAACTATTAAAGTATTCGTGACTAGTGATACAATGTTAAGAGTATACTGATAATATGCCAAAAAGAGACAATGCGTGTTATATCTTTATATATGTGAGGATGTTTCGTCCACCATGGACTTTATCAATTCACGAATGTTAGTCCTAGGTGGTCGAATCGTCTTCATAAATAAATGCCATAACCAACATTATCTTATTGACAATCTTGACTGATGGCGTACGGGTCGATTGACTGCTGTTGGTCAATCGACTGCAACCAACCAATCGTTAGTTGGCATGTAACTCACTGTAGATATACAGAGTTTGGTTTAAATCTTGGCAGTTAAAATATCCTTGCCGGCTTTGATTAAGAGGATTGCAGTGTGAATGGGCATCGTGCAGTCCATAAGTATGGAAAATGGAAAACTAGTTGAAAGAATGAACCCAGGTTGCAGAAAATTTTGAATAAAAAATTTTCTATGTTCACGGCTAAGATTGGTTAATGGGGCTTAAAGCCTATCGACTACACGAGTCATTAAGCCTGTATGCTGTGTGTTCACCACCAGTCAAGAATACTTGAATCTATAAAATAAGGATCAAAATAAATTTGCAGTGTATATACACCGAGATGTGTACATCTTGGTGTAAAATATACATCCTTGTGCTCAGAAAGACCTTGCCATACTTTGTTGGGATTCATGGTCGAGGATGCATGGAAGGCATTAGGCCAAGGACGCCCTCCCCCGTCCCTTTTTTTTTTCGTCTTGGCGCATGGTCTCTTGGAAGCTAGAAAGCAAGAAATAAACCTGTGTTTACATGGCTAAGAAGTGTATGTCACTAGTGTGCAAGTGATATCTGAAAATCAAACTGCAAACGTTGCAACCCCTGCATGTGATTCTCATAACAGCTTGTTTCCTGAAGCTGAGGTCCACATGTGGTGTTTTCTTCAGAGAACACTGAAAACATTTTAGCTATTTTATCAAGTAACTTTTAATGCAACGGTTGGTTGACGAAGGTTCTTTATGCACAGCGGCGTTCCTCATCCCCTACACGATCATGCTGTTGTGTGCTGGATTACCCTTGTTCTTCCTGGAGCTGGCACTAGGCCAGTACGTCAGCCTCGGACCAAATATCCTCTTCCCGAAGCTGGTGCCCTTCTTCGGTGGTAAGTGCGACTCAGAGTTTTTCTATTTTTTACACAACTTTTTAGTGTCCTACTGTTTGCTTGCTGTTCACAAATATTTGACTGTAAATTAATATTACTTTTGAATTATAAAGATAGGTTTAAGCAGTATTGGCAACGTTACTAATGAATTATAGAGCTGAGAGCAACAGCGTGAATGAGTTTCTGACCTTGCCATAACATACTATGATTGCATGTCTAATAGTCAAAGTCGGACCGAAACGTCGTCATTGGTTTCATTCCCTTATGTGCGGGTTATTTGTGCATGTTTCGCCTTTGTTGACAGGGCTGGGGTGGGCCATGGTGATGTTGTCACTACTGGTCGCTATCTACTACAATATGATTCTTGCCTGGACGTTTTTCTACACCTTCGCTTCCTTCACCAGCGAGCTGCCCTGGGGACACTGCAATAATTATTTTAATTCTCTCGGTGAGGTCATATTTTTGTTTAATGCTGTGACTAGTAAAAGCTTTTACCAGTAAATTTTGAAGTCTTTTAAAAAATCTGAATATTTTGCAGTTCTAAAAAGTATTGTTTCATGAATTAAAACTTGAGAGAGTACCGTTCTGACATTCATATGTGCATCATCTTGATCAATTTTTATGAGTAAAAATTTAATTGTGGGTCTCTTCCTGCAAAGCAAATGGAGCTTATAATCATGTGACTGACCTGCTAGCTTGCCGTTTACCCCATAGAATTTTGTTGATCCTGACATGAGCTGTGATGGTAGGAACTCCATCTTTACATACAAAGACTCGCCGCACGATCATTTCCTGAGATAAAAGTTAGATAAGGGAACAATTACATAGAGGAAAGAAAATATAATAGGGTAAATATATACTAAGTATGTATGATTTGAGGCAGGGTAGGATCCATATTTCATATTTATAGGTTCCTCAATATTTATTACATATTAACATTGTTTTGGTGTGTATGAAGATTAAAAACATTTTTTAGACAAATCTGATTCCTTAATTCTACGTTCAGAATGTTACACCGAGGAGCTGGCGGCGTCATGCAGGAACCAATCCATGTACTACTACAACAGCACTTGCGTCAGCTCTGAAGTGTACTGCAAGGCAGCTGGCTTAAAAGCCTTGAATGCCACACACTGTCAATCAGCAGCCAGTATGAAGCTAGCCGAGGGAGCTGTGTCCAGAATATCTGCTAGCGAGGACTATTTTAGGTACGTCTTGTAGGTAATAAATGCCCGCTGAGAGATCTGTTTTGAGATGATAATTTTTAAACATTAGAAGTTAAAATTTTTATTTTTTTCCCTTTTGGCGAGATATTTTTTTTTTCAAGGATTTTATTAAAATAAATCCAAACTTGGCGAAATGAAAAATTAATTAAATCATGAATGGTACTTCAGAAAACAGTGACAGGTTGACGTTATCCTTTCCACAAAGTTGTCATATGCCAGCTTATGACAACTTAAGACTTACAGATCTCATACCCTTATCTGAAAAAAAATCATTGTGGTGTAGTTTAACATGAAAACCCTGGGTAATGGATGTGATAAATAACAGCGCTTTTTCCAATCTTGTAAATATCGTATAGGTTAGGTGTTTCCAGACGAAACTTTCCACAGTAAAGATATATCTTATGATGGATAATGTACAAAATTAAGTCAGCAGAAAGCCTCGGACATAAATCAAAAGTATGACTGGAAGATCTCAATATAATAATCGAACCCATGCTAGCAGAATTTTTTTTCAAGATCTTCATCACTACCACTTCATAAGAACTGTTTTATATTTGCAGGAACCGCATGTTAGGTGTGACAGGAACCACCTGGGACGACATGGGAGAGATGAGGTGGGAACTGGTTGGTTGCCTGGCTCTATCCTGGGTACTGGTCGCTGCCTGCATGGTCAAGGGAGTCAAGAGCTCTGGCAAAGTGGTTTATTTCACGGCTCTTTTCCCTTATGTTGTTCTCGTTATTCTTTTCATTCGAGGTGAGCTAACTGTAGAACATTTTAACAGTGATCTGAGCTTAGGCCTTTCCAGCTTCCTATTTATTATAACCGAGGTGCCTCTACGTAGGGGCCTCGGATAACTTTTAGGGAGTCTTTTAATATTAATAATTCACTGGAGTTTTTAATTAATGCTGGATATTTTAACTTAATAGTGTTTATTTATGTTGAGAGTTTTTCGTTGCTTTTATAGTCTGTTGATTTTATCTTCGTATTTGTTTTTATGGCTGTGAGCCATGAAAACGCCCGGGTGTTGGTACACTCTTGTGAGTACATAGTTTATATTTAGGCCGCCTACATAATCTTTAATTTATAGTGGTTTTATATAGTAAATTATGTAGAAGTGGGCCAAGGGTCTCGTCCCTGGGAAGACGATCTGAAGAAACACAATAGCAATAAGCCAGATATATTTGCTTTGGGCAATCCTGGATTACTAATCCAAATAAAATAATCTTCAAACCAATGTGCTTTAGTTGTTAGCAGAAGGTACTGTCACTTGCACCCACAGCCATACCAGATTAAGTGATCTAAACTCAACACAATTGTACGTGTCTGTATAATTATTAAACATTTCTCCCACCAGAGCAGGGTGACCAAAAAAAAAAGAAGCACTGTTATAATTCACTCCAGTCACTGTCCTGTCTGAGGCGCATCTACACTACAGTTATAAAACTGCAAGATATCAACACCCCTTCTCCAGAGCGCAGACACTATATTTCCTACCTCTAGGACTCGAGTCTTGCTTGTCGGTTTCCCTGAATCCCTTCAGAAATGTTACATTGCTCACACTCCAACAGCACGTCAAGTCAAAATAACCATGTGTCTCCACTCCCTACTGTCTAACACGATCACGCACGATTACTGGAAGTTCAAGCCCCTCGCAAACAAAACCTCCTTAACCCCCATCCCTCCAACTTTTTCTAGGCTGACCCCTACCCCACCTTCCTTTCACTACTGGTTTATACGTTCTCCAAGTCGTTCAATATCGTTCCATTCTCTAAATATCCGAACCACCTCAACAACCCCTCCTCAGTAACCCTGCACCTGATCCTAATTTCCAGACTATGGATTATATACATTATATTCACATCGCACATTGCCCTCAGACATTGTCTCCACTGCTTCCAGCCTTCTCCTTGTTGCAACATTCACCACCCATGCTTCAAATCCATGTAAGAACGTTGGTATAACTATGCTCTCTTATATTTCCTTCTTTGCTTCCATGGATAACATTCTTTGTCTCCACAGACTCCTCAATGCACCACTCGCCTTTTTCCCCTCATCAATTCTGATTCACCTCTTCTTTCATAGACCCATCTGCTGCCAAGTCCACTCCCAAATATCTAAATATGTTCACTTCCTCCATACTCACTCCCTCCAGTCTGATAACTAGTCTTTCATTATCTAGATTTTTTGTTATCATTATCTTACTCTTTCCTATGTTCACTTTTAATTTCCTCTTTTTACATACCTTACCAAACTCGTCCTCCAACCTCTTCAACTTCTCTTCAGAATCTCCCCAAAGCACAGTGTCATCAGCAAAAAGATAGATTCTTTATCTTTTAAACTCTCTAACCACTACACGAAATCACAGCTTCCCTATCTTCATCAACATTTAACAGCTCCTCGAAATTCTCTCTCTCTCTCTCTCTCTCTCTCTCTCTCTCTCTCTCTCTCTCTCTCTCTCTCTCTCTCTCTCTCTCTCTCTCTCTCTCTCTCTCTCTCTCTCTCTCTCTCTCCCTCCTCCTCCCCCCCCCAAACACATCGGCCATATCCCACTGAGGCGGGGTGGCCCAAAAGGAAAAACGAAAGTTTCTCCTTTTACATTTAGTAATATATACAGGAAAAGGGGTTACTAGCCCCTTGTTCCTGGCATTTTAGTCGCCTCTTACAACACGCATGGATTACGGAGGAAGAATTCTGATCAACTTCGCCGTGGAGATAACAGGAAATGAACGAAAACTAGTAAAAAAATAGAAGAAAACCCAGAGGGGTGTGTGTGTGTGTGTGTGTATGTATATATATATATATATATATATATATATATATATATATATATATATATATATATATATATATATATAAATATATATATTCTTTTTCAACAAACCAGCCGTATCCCACCGAGGCAGGGTGGCCCAAAAAGAACAAAAGTTTCTCTTTTCAAATTTAGTAATTTATACATGAGAAGGGGTTACAAGCCCCTTGCTCCCGGCATTTTAGTTGCCTCTTACAACACGCATGGCTTACGGAGGAAGAATTCTGTTACACTTCCCCATGGAGAAAAGAGGAAATAAACAAGAATAAGAACTAGAAAGAAAATACCAGAAAACCCAGAGGGGTGTGTATGTATATACTTGTACATGTATGTGTAGTGTGACCTAAGTGTAAGAAGTAGCAGCAAGACGTACCTGAAATCTTGCATGTTTGAGACAGAAAAAAGACACCAGCGATCCTACCATCGTGTAAAACAATTACAGGCTTCCGTTTTGCACTCGCTTGGCAGAACGGTAGTACCTCCCTGGGCGGTTGCTGTCTACCAACCTATTATATATATATATATTTTTTTTTTCAACAAGTCGGTCGCCTCCCACCGAGGTAGGGTGACCCAAAAAAGAAAGAAAATCTCCAAAAAGAAAATACTTTCATCATCATTCAACACTTTCACCACACTCACACATTATCACTGCTTTTGCAGAGGTGCTCAGAATACAACAGTTTAGAAGCATATACGTATAAAGATACACAACATATCCCTCCAAACTGCCATATATATATATATTATATTATATATATATATATATATAATATATATATATATATATATATGTATGTATATATAATATATATAAAAAACCAACCGGCCATATCCCACCAAGGCAGGGTGATCTAGGAAGAAAATCTATAGTTTCTCTTTCTAAATTCAGTAATGTTTACAGGAGAAGGGGTTACTAACCCCTTGCTCCCGGCATTTTAATCGCCTCTTACAACACGCATGGCTTACTTTCCCATGGAGTTAAGAGGAAATAACAAAAACTAGAAAGAAAAAAAAGAGGAAAACCCAGAGGGTTATGTATAAATATGCGTGTACATGCATGTGTAGCGTGACCTATGTGCAAGCAAAAGTAACAAGATATACCTGGTATCCAGCATGTTTTTAGACCAAAAAAAATGGCGCTACGAATCCTACCATCATGTAAAACAATTACAGGTTTCAGTTTACACACTCCTGGCAGGACGGTAGTACCTCCCTGGGTGTTTGTATGCATATAAGTATGTTCGTAATGTCATCATTGCCGAAAGATAACATACAAACTAGTGAAAACGTCTATATTTTTTTTTTGTTGATAGGGTTTCAAATCGGTCGATTTTAGAAGGGTCATTAATTGTGTTCATCAGGCACTCCAGAGTCCTGGAACCTCCAATGTAAATATTAAAGTAAATCTTCACCATATATGAACATAGACTTAAACCTTACTGTGAGTATATATATTTATGAATAAAACTATATAGCTACTATTCATAGCAGGTAGTAATGACGTTAATATTCTTGAAATATTGATATTGGTGCACATAACGAAGGTAACTGACTAGTCACCTTCGTCAGGAATAATTTCATATCTTCTCAGCTATCCCAGGATTATAGTGGATGTTAAATCGATTGAGCTTCAAGAAAATATATAGCTACTATGTTTTGTTATTATACAGGACAATTACTATAATAAACTGATAATTTAATTTTTAAATAACTCCAGTATAGTTAATAGGCTTTAAACCTCATTATCTATTAACAAATAAATATATCAGATAGAGCCTGCATATTATAAGTATTTTAATAAAGGAACTCTACTCCCTGTCCTCTGCTTCACTTTTCAGGTAGTTTTTCATGCTCTGTTCTTATAATGATTTGTATAATGACCAGCCCTTTCATTGTAGTCATTTATCGTTGTGCAACAAGTTTTTGAGGCTTGACCACCTATTGTGGGTGCTACGAAATTTTGTTTACTTTTCCAAATACAGTGTTGGTGTTGGACAATTCTGGACGATGGTTGGTAGCAATTTTGTGTGCACGGCTTTACTTTTAACTATTTAACTATCTTCCTCTCACATTATATCCATTTTCTTTAGTTCATCCTTTCATATACGTTCTCTTGGACTCAAGGATGACTCTCACTATCCTGTTTTGGATTTGCAATCTGCGGTTTCAGATTTTCTTATTTGCTAAAGTAGAGTACCATAAGTTGTGTTCCAGAGTTGGTTGGCACTTTGTCTGGGACTTCAACCTGGATTTCGTCCTATCTTTTTTTTTTTCTATGCTGTGATATGCGGAGATCGAAGGATATTCTTCATATTTGTCAATGAAGTGCTGTTGAAATGTATTCTTCATTGCAAGGAACTTTAATATTATTTGACTTGAAGAAAGTTATATTTTTAACCAAGTATGACTTGTTTTGCCCAGGTGCAGCGACGGTTTGTTAACTATCTAGAGTCTACTCGAATTGCAGTCATAATATCTGAGCTATATAATGTAAATCTTTTCCTGACCCCAAAAGAACAGTCATCTGCCTACACTAAAAATTAGCATTAAACACTAATGGGTCTCTCATAGTACGAGAAGAGTAAGGGAGGGGGGCAAAATTCTCCTTGCGAAATTCTGCATGTTATAGACAAGGGTTCGGATTCTGATTCTGAATTGAATAAGTTTGCTTCAAGTTGTTAAGTAAAGATTTAAGCCAGTCCATAGCACCTGTGTTTATTGTTTATGCTTTTTTTCACAAATCCTATCATGAATTACTGTGTCAAGTTTTATAGGTCTAAGGTGGTTATGCCGGTGAAATTTCCTAACATTTGTTTTCGCTTATAATGCATCAGCTTAATGAAGAAAGTATGTGTTGAATGAGATCCCCTGAAACCTAACATAGCTATGTAATGTCATTTAGATACTTAACTACTTGGTAGTATGTATACTGCTTTCTGTAGGGTTTTGCCTATAATACACGGTATACTAAAAGGTCGGTTATTGAACTCTACAATTTTTCTTGGAAACAGGAGTGACTCTGGCTGACTTGCACTCCTCATGGTTAAGGTGATTGGAACTATGGGTACTTTTAATTCAGAAGCCCTATTCTTCAGGAATTTGGCTGGAATTTTATCAATTCCAGTGCTTCTGGTTTGGGTATACGTAATTCCGTACGTACAAATTAGTCAGATACACCTGATTGTGTGATGTGATGCCTTTATTACTGTAGCATGTTTTAAAATTGTTTACTAATTTTACTACAAGAGTTGCGTACTGTTGCGGTGCACAGTTGCCTACAGGACTGGTAATAATGCGAGGAAGAGGGAATGGGATAGGATTAGAAGTAGTGTATATAAGGAGAAAAAAGAATAGTGGCCCTCATTAACTTTGGTTAGTGTTCTATTTCATTTTTGAAGCACTGATATTTAAGGTGGTCTTGATTGCCTTGCTTCCTGGCCGTCTTGCAGACTGCTGATAACACACCTGGTGATGACATTATTATTTTCTTCCGTTTTGATGTTTTAACTGATGACTTTAGTTTAATAGAGAGCTGCTTGTTAATGTTGCTTTCCCTGTATTTCAGTACTTTATATGCACATACAAAAATGCACACTAATTGATCCATGTACTATTTGTATGGGTAATATGCTAGTAACTCACATTAAATAATACAGAAATAAAGCTCACTTTCAAAACTACTACAAAACCAGTACTTTCCCAGATTCTTCATATCCGAAATAATTTTGCTTGTATTAAATAGCCATAAAATAATGGAAAGTCGGAGGCCTTACATCCTAGGTCATGCTTCTGCTTAGTCATTTTGCTCTCAAATTTAAGATAACATACATTAATAGAGGTTTGATATTCTCATTTATAGTACTGTACTAAAACTGGTGATATTGGTAATTATAACTGAATCTCTCTTAATGTATATTGTCGCTTCCCATCAGTACTTTCGTATCATTGAAATTAATTTCAGGACTTCGTGCATTACTATGTGGAATTACTACATTATCTCTATTGTTCGCAGAAAATCTGTTGATACAATCTGTTTAAAACGACTTGTTACCCACAACATTACATAGATCACAATAGGTGTGTGGAATCTTGAACAGTTTTCCACCATTTCTGATACAGATAAATGACCGTGAAATCAAAGAATGCTTTCTCGATGTTATTATTGCAGTTGTCAACATTAACTTTCCTAGGAGTTTGTTTATAGTACCATGACTAATTTAAACTAATAGACATTGCCATTACTAAAAGCAATAGGAAGATTAATGTGATTATCTTGGAAATATTGATTTTCAAAGAAAAATCGACGATAACATGATTAGGAATTCTTTGCGTGTCCATGTCTGAATTTTTTCTTGTGAAGTTAGGTTTATTTTAGTGATGTGCGAGTGTGAAGTTTAATTAATTGAATTAAGCAGTGAGTGACGTTTTTACGTCCCAGTGTTCGAAATTTTTATCATTTCCTTTCATAGAAAAGTTGAACTAAGATGATGCATAATATTATCAGTTTGACTTACATCTGCATATCTTGTTTCACCGTAACTTTTCCTTACCATAGGTATCACCTTGAAGGGAGCGTACACTGGTATTGAATTTTACATCCTGAAGCCTAATATGACGCGGCTTACTGAGATTGAAGTGTGGAATGATGCTGCCACACAGATCTTCTACTCGCTCGGTTCATCGTTTGGTGGCCTGATTACACTTGCATCATACAATAAGTTCAAAAACAACTGCATGCGGTAAGTTCAGTTTCTCATTTCTACAATGAACTTCCTTGCAACCTCGTGTATTTTAGGTTTATTAAAATTTAATAATATACAAATTTGCTTATATGCTACATTGGTCAGTTATCAGGCAAAGGGTGAGTGGAAGATAGTGTTGAGCTAATATATATATATATATATATATATATATATATATATATATATATATATATATATATATATATATATATATATATATATATATATATATATATATATATATATGTCGATAGGCAGTAGGTTGGTAGACAGCAACCACCCAGGGAGGTACTACCGTCCTGCCAAGTGAGTGTTAAACGAAAGCCTGTAATTGTTTTACATGATGGTAGGATTGCTGGTGTCCTTTTTTCTGTCTCATGAACATGCAAGATTTCAGGTACGTCTTGCTACTTCTACTTAGGTCACACTACACATACATGTACAAGCATATATATACACACCCCTCTGGGTTTTCTTCTATTTTCTTTCTAGTTCTTATTCTTGTTTATTTCCTCTTATCTCCAAGGGGAAGTGGAACAGAATTCTTCCTCCGTAAGCCATGCGTGTTGTAAGAGGCGACTAAAATGCCGGGAACAAGGGGCTAGTAACCTCTTCTCCTGTATATATTACTAAATGTAAAAGGAGAAACTTTCGTTTTTCCTTTTGGGTCACCCTGCCTCGGTGGGATACGGCCGGTGTGTTGAAAGAAAGATATATACAATGTCGATAGGCAGTAGGTTGGTAGATAACCAACCGCCCAGGGAAGTACTACTGTCCTGCAAAGTGAGTGTACAACGGAAACCTGTATTTGTTTTACATGATGGTAGGATTGCTGGTGTCTTTTTTGTCGCTTAGGTCACACTACACATAAATGTACACGCATATTTATATATAACCCTCTGGGTTTTCTTCTATTTTCCTACTAGTTTTTGTTCTTATTTCCTCTTATCTCCATGGGGAAGTGGAACAGAATTCTTCCTCCGTAAGCCATGCGTGTCGTAAGAGGCGACTAAAATGCCTGAAGCAAGAGGCTAGTAACCCCTTCTCCTGTATATATTACTTAATTTAAATGAAGCTTTCATTTTTCCTTTTGGGCCACCCTGCCTCGGTGGGATATGACTAGTTTGTTGAAAGAAAAAAGATATATGCAAGTCGTGCTGAATAGGCAAAACTTGCGGCTATGGCTTAATTAACAACGCTCTTCTTGCCAAATTAGGCAAGCGAAAATTTGTGTATACAATAATTTAGCAAAAATCATTCTGAACCTAACGAAGAAAAATATATTTCATTGTGTTTATTTAATTATTGTAAACTTATCTAAAATATATTTAGTTGAATTAGGCTAAATTAAAATGCGCTTGTTATAATAAGGTAAGTTTTCTAAGGTTCTTTTGGTACAATTTTTTTTACATTAACATAAATAAAAAAATATATCTTTAAACGTATATGAGAAAATTTTAGAAAGAACTTCATTTTAAACGAGTTCTTGCTAATTGGCCAGTTTTACCTATTCGGCACGACATATATATACACACATATTTCTTACTATTATTCCCCTCAAGGAAGGTTCCTTGACGCTGGTGAGGAGCTCTTGATCTAGGGAATTGGATCTCTCATTCAGTTTCCTGAATTGAACCTGAATACCTCCCATTCCCCCCTCCCCACAGGTGCTGTATAATCCCTATGGGTTTAGCGCTTCCCCATGATTATAATATATTATTTTTATGAGTAATATAATTTTAGAATTGATGCGAACCAAATTATCCAAAGAGTTTATATTTTGTTGATGCTCATGACATCTCTTCAAGGAGAATACCTTTATTCTGGTGAGATACCCCAAGGAAATGAAGCTGCTCTCTCCTTGGATCAAACCTGATTGGTTCCTGTTTTCTATAATATGTATGATCCTTATCAGTTTAGTACTTCCACATAAAATATTAATTTTTAAGATATATTAATATGCTTCTGTTTTATACAGAGAAGTATATCCCCTCTGTCAACCTGCATTAAACCAAGGAACCATTAATAAAATTAAAACTTTATCATCCTTATTTTTGTTTCCTTAACAGAGATGCTATCATCATTGCTTTTTCCAACTGTGGTACTTCGGTATTTGCCGGCTTCGTGATCTTCAGCATCCTGGGGTTCCTGGCTACAGAGCTTGGGGTTGAAGTGAAGGACGTTGTGTCTTCAGGTTCTGGTCTGGCCTTCGTGGTGTACCCAGCAGCCGTCACTCATATGCCTGTACCACCAGTATGGTCGCTACTCTTCTTCTTTATGCTCATCTCTCTTGGTCTCGACTCTCAGGTTTGCTATCATCATTAATTTCTATGTTACAGGGATGTGTAGTGTTATTTCATTGATTATAGATAACTTTGTACGTTGTATAATGGTTTTAAGCCCTGCTTCTGTCGTTTCAGTTCACAATGGTAGAGACGATAGCCACAGCTCTCTTCGATCAGTTTGAATTCTTGCGAAGCAAAAAGCCACAAGTAGTGGGAACCTTGTGTATTTCGTTATTTCTCTGTGGCTTAACCATGTGTCTGGACGGTGGCATTTACATGTTCGAGCTCTTCAACTGGTACTCTGCTGGAATTTCTGTCATCATCTTGGGAATTATTGAACTCGCAGTTGTTGCATATATTTATGGTAAGTGGTTGTGAATTAGAGTAACGTTTCAAATGGTCAATTGTTTCTGATTGAGATTTCTTGCCTGTAAGATGTTAATATTGTAAAGTTTTCGACTTAACTTTCTGATCTTCCACAGGTTTTAAAAAGTTCATGAGGAATATTTCTGAAGAAATGGGTATTCACGTTCCTCTACCACTTTATATCTATTGGGCTGCCACTTGGCTTGTTATCACACCAGTGGCACTTGTTGTAAGTGTTACCAATTGCATATATGGTTCCCCATCACTTATCCTAAGAGCTAAATATATTTTTCCTATTGTCTGTTTTAATAAACTCTATAAAAAATAAAAATAGAGAATTATAAGTAGTAAAAAAAACAAACCTGAACATTGCTATTTAACAGTTTATATGTGCGGTAATTCCCAGTTTTTTAGCAGTGATATATGTTTAGCTAAAATATATATACATATATATATATAATTACAAAAATAATTTCTGCACAATAATTTTCACCTTAAATTTCAGATAATTTTGGTTTTGTCAATCTACTACTACACTCCAGCCTATTTTGGAAGCTACATCTACCCTCTAAGAATCCAAATACTGGGCTGGTTCCTGTGTCTTGTTTCGCTCGTCTTCCTCCCACTTGGCACTATTTATGTTTTTGCGAAAGGGGACAAGAGAGGGAAAGAACTGTTCACAGCATCTCCAGATTTCTGCCCTCACCATGTAAGAAAAGAGAGAGAGAAGGACGGTGAATTCAAAAATGGTCAGCCCGTTGGTGTGTTCAGATACACGTACGATAATGAGGGTTATCAAGAACCTACCGCTAAGGTGAGTGTATTTGATGTTAAATAGGAGTGCATTTGTAATCTTTCACGTGTTTTGAATTTGTGCTCATATACTCGGATGTGTTTGCATGTGCATTTATATACTCATTTGTGTTCACCTGTTTGTGTTGATTGATCGTTTGGGCCTTGTTTTTTTTTATCTATTAAATGACCAGTGTGATACTTTTCCAACCTTACTGGTTTTTGTGGTATTAGTTTTAAAAGTCGTCTGTGGAGTTTGCCTAGCTACCTTCATCCCTTGTGCATTCCATGTTCTGCTCTCGCCATCTTAAACGTTGAAGCCTCTTCTGAAACAGCTTCTGGTTTGGTTTCCATGTATTCTCCTCGTCCTGGTATAACCCTTTCAAGTTGTCTGTCTACCTTCTTGAAGTATTTGGTTCTCTTGTATGTTGTAATGGTAAACTCATGGCCTTCGTTCCTTCATTGTTTTAAGATTTACTTCTTTAATCTCTATTTATCTGCTATTATCCGGGTTGTAATGGTCTAGAAGTTTAGATTTCTCAAGTGTTTGAGTAGATCAGTTTTCACGCTTGTGTTGCATACACCAACGTTGGCCTAACATGTGTAAAAAGAAAAAAGAAAAATTCTGCATTCTTCCTTGAGAGGTTGATGAAAGCCATTCTTAGAATATGCACAAAGGTCTCAGTGCTGGTGAATAACTCTTCAGCCAAAGAACTGGAACTGCCCTCCCTTGTATCGAATCATATTGCCCCATTCAACACGGTGCTGCTTAATCCTTTCACGTTTATGGTTTACTTCAGACAAGGCCACCTACCTGTCGCATATTTGAAGCCTTCACAGCAGAGACGGTGCTCCCTCAGTTCGAGCTGTGGGGTTATCAACTCTCACTATAATGTTGTACAACAAGAATTTACGGAACGCGGGCCGGACATTAAACAACAATTCGAGCTAGATTTGCCTAGCACCAAAGTTAAGACTCTCGTCCATCCTGCCCACAGACATAGACGATATCCGAGCAATGTAGCTAAACTAACCTTTAATTGACGGTACCTCCCATCCTCCGTCATCATAAATAAACAGTGTTTGAAGGTGAGGGAATTCATAGAAACACTCACAAGAATTCCGACAACAATGGTTCTTTGGCCAACCAACAAAATATTGCATACCAGAGGCAAAATTGTCCAGTCTAGGGAGAAGCCTATCATAAATCACCATGCTAGCATCTCCTTGCCTTAACTGAGGTGAGGAACACCCTACGTATTTTTGCTCAGTATTATTGCTAGTGGAAACCTCTAGCATCCCAGTGTTCAACCCCCTAAGACGTTCTTACGTCACATTCCTACTTTTCGCCCTCTGCCACATTTACTATCTCTGAGCCCTCAGTCTTCAGCTTCTCATCGGCATTTCCACCGCCAACATCAGAGAGTCGAGAACCTTTCAACCTTCAAAATTCCGTCAGCCTATTGCCCACTCACGCTTTACATTTTCTAAGTCTCTCTCAGCCGTTGACTCCTCAGATAGTTGAAGAAAATGCATTTACACACGTCCTTCCACTGTCTCATTTGTGTTAACACAGACCCCTACATCTCGGGATATATTTTTTCACACCCATCATGGGAGGTATCTTAATGGGATGAGGAGTTCTTTATCCAAGGAATTGGGCCTATCCTCTCGTTCCTTGAATCTTACCTGATTGCCTCCCATTCCCCAACGTTGTATGAGCCCTAAAGTTTAGAGTTTCTTCATGATTGTGCCAGAGACTCCACATGAAAATAGTGGAACCCATGAAAAGTGTATTAAGTACACATGATACAAATTACATAATGAACTCGATCTCTTAGTTCTTTCCTCTTTTTAAGCATATTATTCTTAAATCAACTTTCATACTGTCCAGAAGGAAAATGGTTTACGTTTCTGAATGCTTTTGACACACTTACCGACCTTGAATTTCCTACTGATGTTATCCTGTTCGTGATTCACTGATGTCAACTTGTTTAAACGCCCATCCAAGCATCAAATGGTTCACATTTTTTTTTAAATTACAATGGATTACTTAAAAAAATAGTGAGCTATTGGAGTTATTATACATAAAATGTAACCATTTGCTATTATTAGGGCAGCATTACGCAATTAACTAACGAGTAAATGTGTGTTGCTTTGCAGATATACCCAGCAATTCCCGCGGTTGATAATTCTCCTGTATACTCCCACGCTCCGGGCTACTCCAATCATATATAGTGGAAAAGAATTATTGTATTTTCTGTCTGAGATATGGCGAGACGTAATTTAAGATTTAAGTGAAAGATATTTACTTAAATAACTTTTATATAGTAATAGAATCTAAATAAATCAAATGTATAAGTCAGTATGTAAACATGATACCCAGGAAGGAGTGTACACTTAGTACTAGGTGATTATATTTTGTGTATTTTTTTTAAATGCGTGTGGTTGTAAGTGTTGTTTGTGTACAGTGTATGTATTTTTGTATTCATATTTAGTGTCTACAGTGCATTTGCCCTTGTTATCTACATTAGAAATAGCGTAATAAAATTTAATATACCTTTCAAGTCATCGTTTGTATGACGAGTGAAAATTAAATTAAGTGAATAATAAAGATACGCTCGATGTGGATTTGCAAAACACGCATTTGGGACAACATTTCTGCCTGATATGATCCTCATCAAGTTATGACTTGATAAATAGTTTAATAGATGTAAAACAGTCGAATACGATTTTCGACAAATTGTCTTAACTTCATTGTTGTCTACATCACGCCAGTAAGCTTTTCGTTGACTTTATTGTTAAGTGTACTGTATTCAGGAGAAATGTTTGTCATGCCGTAATGTATATTGTAAAACAATGAGTCCTCTTAAGTTTATCTCGTACCCGTGACATACCTGTGATCAGTTCCGAGGGTTTTACCCCTCGCAGCCCGGCCTGAGGTCAGACTTTCTTGCTGATTGTCTGTTCAATCATGCTGCTGCTGCTGGTGGCCCGCTAGCCAAGATAGCCATAACAGCACTGCTGATCTGGAGCTTGAAGGAAGTAGTGGTTCATTTTTATCTTGAAAATTAATGTTACTCAACACACACAACAGAATGGCAACACGAATCAGTCCGGTTTCTATGCCGAAAAGTTGACCCGAGTGAATGGAGTCTCTTGTTATGATAGACTTTCAACTATAGGCTTTATATACTATCAGTAATAATTTACATTACTCACACAGTGAGGTATATTTTCATGATAGACAGTGTTTATAAAAGTGACTTCTGTTTTGATGTAGCTTTGAAGGTCTCAACCTTTTTTTTGTATGCCGAATTGCTGCAATTATTTGTTTCGTAAGCTTGTGTCACTGATATTTTAATTTTTTATATTACCTACATCAGAGATAAACTGCAGTATGAAAAACTATGTATATATGAAAGTTTTATTTATTTCAGTTACCCCAAATACATAAAAACCTTGGTAACCTTTTTAAGATATTTAAAAAATCTGTGACTATTTTGTGAATGGAAAGAGATGCATTAAACGTGTGAGTGAGGTGAAAGAGTTGAATGATGATGAAAGTATTTTCTTTTTGGGGATTTTTTCTTTTTGGGTAACCCTGCCTCGGTGGGAGACGGCCGACTTGTTAAATATAAATAAATATATATTATATATATATATATATATATATATATATATATATATATATATATATATATATATATATATATAATAATAATAATAATAATAATAATATAAATTTTAGTACCCAATGCATCGCAAATAAGTATATTTAATGCAGTAAAGTGTGTATTAATACGTGGGTTTTATCAAGGGCTTCATGATGCCCTTAATGAAGCTCGCAAGTGCAACTTTAGTACCAATAACAACACTGTATCCAGTGTCTAATCACCACGTGTCGGCGTTATGCCTTTTACTGTATGTAATCTGAATACCAAATTCAATATGCCTTTCGAGTTTATAGTCCATTTAATTTAATACTTCGGATTACTTTTTTATTATACTATGTAGGATGTGTATTTTATTTACAGTAAATGTTTATTGGACACCAGTGACAACACATTGAGTGTCAAATTTTACTTGTTCAGTATTTTAATTTCAATATTTTGAGAACAAAATTTGTATGCATGTGAAAATATAGTTGTTTTATATATACACAGTTTGATTTTTTTTCTTGTAACCATGTATAGTGACCACCTTCCACGACGCACTAATGTACCTATTCTTTTTGTCAGTGTATCCTTCATTATAGTGTTTCACTGTCATTCACGAGAGTAATATTGAAGACAGATTGCACAAGACTTTATTTTAACATTGAGCTCTGTGAGAGTTTTATGATTTAATAAACTGTAAATAGAGCAAAATGTTATCCCATAAAAGCTTGTCCTGCAGCTTATGTTTCGTTCAATATTATCAGCATTAATGCCACTCTGATCCAACTTCAGCGGGTTTAGCGCTTGATTTTGATTATAATGATCCGACTTCGGATATTGTGGGCTGTGGGATACCTGAGGTACGACAACTTGATTGTTACATAAAAGGACACTAAGTACAATTAATGTGACATTTTTATCGTCACAATAGTTGTACAAGTGTCCTTTTACCTAACATATTGTCGATAATTCTACCAACAATGCAACTTGAATGAGGCTGCTCTGACGTCATTCCAAAAGAAATGTGTAAACCAGAGAACGTTTTCGAGATTTCTCTATGTAACCTGGTAATGGTTTAAGAACCTGTTTTTAATATATCGAAAATGAGTAGATGGAAGGAAGTTGAGCTGGGACCAGCACCTGGAGCTGGGAGATCACTCACAGGGGAAGACATTTCTGCAGAAATGGCGAGAAATTGAAACTGGACTTCGGAGGCTTCTGTTTTGTCTATTTTATTTTTATCTCCTTTGTCCTTTATAAATTATCATTACTTTAAATTTTTTTAAGCTCGTCTTTAGAAGAAACTATTATCAGCTACGATTTGTGGGGAGTTCGGCTAATAACTATAATTTATATAATTGTGGAAAATACTGTACATATTTTCCAGAAATTCAGTATTTATATGTAAATAGATGGCCATACTGTATTTAATAATTGTCATAGAAAACGGAAAGCCTGCGTCTGAGCAGACGAGACTCGCCATCTTGGTTTTGAATTGGATACAACGTTAGTGTAATGGGAAGAAATTTTCGTGCTCTAGAGGTTAAAATTGTGTTGACACCTCTCAAATAGGAGGTGAAATTGTTGGACATGCATTCCTACATAACTTGAGATATCAGACGACTGGACAAGACAGCTCCAGGAACCTCAGATAAGCTCTCTAGATTTGTGTATAATTCTGGCCAGTGTTTTCATAAATTTAGTTAGTGAGGTTTTTCTGAGTATGATACAACTTAATATCCAGTCAAATTGGTGAGTGATATTAAGATATATTTTCCTTCTGTTATGTAATTGTGTATATATATATAACTATTTATTATTTTTAATATACAGTCCACAAAATTTATATATTTACCAGTATTCCTGGTTATACATATTTCATTGGTAATTAATAGGTCCAGAGCAACTTATGGATATGACAGTGGTATGTATCGAAGGGGGACATTTTTTGCGACCTAGGTGTCCCAAATTCTTTCTTGTCTAACTGATAAATAATAATTATCTTTGTTCATTTACTGTTATGTATATAATGATACATTCAGCTAAATGCAATTTTCCACAATAATCGTCTAGGACATATTGGTATACCTTAAAGTGTTTCTCAATGCAGAACAAACATTTTAAGTTTCCCATATAGAGCTTTGCAGAACAAGCTTTTGTTACTCTATAAAGTCTCGTTTCTTCACTATTGTCGGCAGCGCGCCATTTGAAAAAAAAAAATTCACCATATATTGATTATTATTATTATTATTAAAATCAGGGGAAGCGCCAAACCCGGAGGATTATACAGCGCCTGGGGGGGATCTGGAAGGCATTCAGGCTTAATTCGGGGAACTGGAGCACAGATCCAATTCTCTAAATCAAGAGCCCCTCACCAAATTGAGAAATGTCTCCACCCTGCTGTGTTCGATAACCTGGGCAAGTGTCCTGGCAACACATTATAAACAGGTGCAGCAGCATGTATTGGTTAGTGACGTCTGCTGCTCGCATCCTGTTGTAGGTTGGGTAAGTAACTGCTTCTATTCTTTGGCCTTCTCACTTGATTTAAGGAATTGGATCTGTGCTCCAGTTCCCCAAATTAAGCCTGAATGCCTTCCACATCCCCCCTCCCCTGGGCGCTGTATAATCCTACGGGTTTAGCGCTTCCCCCTTGATTATAATAATAATAATTTGGCCTTCTCTAGTGCATAATATAATTGTTAGGTAAACGTTCTTATGTGCCATTAATGAGACATTCACTATAGTTGCGTTTCGTTCACCACGAGGTTTATCAACCCAATACGGTGCATCAACACACGTTATGTGGAGTAGGTTGGTAGTAGTAACAAACAATAACAAACGCGGTGTATGATTATTTCAGGTGATGTTGAAACTAGAGAACTGTGGAAGTAGATATTCTCAGACTATTTTGCTGTAATATCTAACCACCTTCACAACCTTTAGCAAAAACATTGGTCCGATATGACTTAACAAATTATATTCTATCAAGCCAAGTTTTATGTTTCTGGCCTTGTCATCGATGCCAAGCTTGAGAGACTACACTCCCCTACCTTGGCATTGGGCACACCTGTCTTACTCAAGGGTATCTCATGGAAAGGCGCCCTGTTCCACTCTTGAGAATTATCAGGTTCCAATTTCAGTTTGCCATATTCAGTTGGACTGTTGTGTCTTTCAACGACCACAGAATTTATCTCCGACGTCGTCACCGCTCTTACTCTTGACTTTTTGACAGCAACCGATTTTAACACTACTCACAGCCCTTTCCATCTCTACCTCTTATCCTCTCCATCCTTGCTACTCTGATCCAGCAACACCCCCAGGCACTGTATGACTAGTGGGTTTAGCGCTTGGGCTTGATGATAATGTGGGAGTAGATTTAAGGTTTAACTTTCTGCTAGGCAGTCTAGTTGGAAACTGTTTATTGCGAATGGTGAGTACGTTTAAGAGTGTTAAAATAACGTATGCATGAAATATCTATTATATTAGTGTCCTACAAGTTTGGGCATTGATAAGCCTGTATGACCCTTGTGGGTTTAGCGCTTAGTTTTGATTATAATAGGTATTGATAAGAGTATCTACTATATTTTAGATCGACATATATGCAACTAATAAAATGTGTAACTAGGCTACGTTACTCACTAGCCTCAAAGAGTCAGATCTCCCTTATGCTATGGCAGTTTCTCATCTCCGCCTCCAAGGGAGACTACCCCGTGTTTTATTCTCGTGTTTCAAAACGTCCTCCCCCACTTCTGGGGTCCCATCTTCTGCAACCTCCTCTGCGGTTGCCAGTCCCATAGTCACTCCTGTATCTAATTCTTTTGCTGTCCTGGGCTCAGACGTCCCTACTTCACCTCAGTCTGTCCTCACTTCGTGTTCTCCCTCACAAACCCTGGTATCGACAAGACCTCGTACGACACCTCCCAATCGTCCCTCTACTTCTCAAAGGTCCAACAAATCTCCTTTAACCCCTCCTTCCCTTCATCCACCGCCACATTTTACCTTCCCGGTCTCTGTACCTAGGTCTTTCCCTTTAACTGGCTCCGTTACAAGTGTGGAGGTTCATCCTCCTCGTACTGTGCCTTCCTCCCCTGTCCCCTCCCAAGTTAATTCCTTTTCTGCCACCTCCCGGGTTTCTGCCTCTTCTGTCCCCTCCCACACTTCTCCAGTTCCCTCCACCCTTTCGCCTCCCCCCTACCTTGATACAGTCCATTACAGCTCCGATCTTGACTCAAACTCCACCTCCTCCTCCCATCTCCAATATTGTCTCCCATACGACGTCTCTGAACTCCGAAACACTTGAAGCAATCTCTGAATATATTGCAGAGACCAAACCATCAATGGACACTGATCCACCCTCTGTTCCTTCTCATTCCTCTTCTCCATCTGCGCAACTCCTTTCTTAACAACGCACCGTTCCTTCGCTACTTGAAAGTTTTCCTTTGCCACCGCATGTGGACTTTTCTAACCCTTCTAGTCCGTAGGTACCCTTACCTGCAGATTTCAGGTATCTTTATCGTTGCCAATCATGGCCTATTTACAGTGGAATATTCGCGGCCTCAGGGGTAATCGGGGTGAGCTTCAGATGTTGCTCTCTCAGTTTTTCCCTGTTGGTGTTTGCTTACAGGAACCAAATTTACACTCTGCCCTTATCTATCCCATCTCAGGCTATAATTTATTGTATTCTTCAGATCCTTTTCCTGATGGGACCTTCAATGAAAGTGCCCTTCTATGCACTGATATTCAGTACCATCAGCTATTTGTTCGTACTTCGCTGCATTACACAGCAGCCCGTATCCACTTGCATAGGTGGTATACACACTGTTCTTTGTCTCTCTCCTCGGGCATTATCTATCCCGGATATTGCCTTTCTTGTTTCGTCATTACCGCCACCACTTCTGTTACTCGCTGTGATTCCCGTGGCATTCAGTTAGAGGCTTTTCTTGCTACTCACCCCCTCCATGTTTTAAATACAGGTACTCGCACCCATTTTGATCCTCAGACTCGTACTCTCTCTTGCATCGATCTCTCAGTCTGCTCTTCCTCCGCCACATTAGACTTCACCTGGTCTGTTCTCCCAGATTTACATGACAGCGATCATTTCCCAATCATTCTTACTTCCCCTTCATATTCACCACCTCTTCGTAACCCACGCTGGCAATTTGATCAGGCAAATTGGAACCTTTACTCACAACTGTTTTTAGTGTGGTTCCTTCTTCGCCCTCCATTGATGAGCTTTTACACCTCTTCTTGTCCTCCGTTTTAACCGCAGCTTCTAATTCTATACCCCAAACTTCGGCCAGGCATTCTCAGAAATGCGTGCCTTGGTGGTCTCCTGCTTGTGCTCGTGCAGTACGTTTGAAACGCGCTGCGTGGGGCAGGTACTGGTACAACAGAACCACGGAGAGACTTCTTGATTTTAAGCAGAAGCATGCGATCGCTCGCCGTGTCATCCGTGACGCTAAACGCACTTGCTGGAGAGATTGTCTCCACCATCACCTCTGCTTCCTCTATGAGTGCAGTCTGGAAAAAAGTACGAAAACTGAGTGGTAAATATTCTGACCCGGCTCCTGTTCTGCGGGTTGCCGGTGTTGATATAGCAAACCCACTAGATGTTGCCAATGAAATTGGCAATCATCTGGTCCGTATTTTTCAGGGGCTCCATCTATGCCCCTTGTTTCTTTCCTTAAAGTCTGCCAGAGAGTTAGCACCCTTGGACTTTTCTTCTCTCAGAGAAGAACAGTATAATGTGCTTTTACACTTCAGGAACTGGAGGCAACACTCAGCTTGCCGATCATCGGCAGCTGGGACCGACGACATTCACATTCGTATGCTACGACATTTACATCAGTCAGCCCTTGCAGTCCTATTACGCCTTTTCAATCTTATTTGGTCACAAGTTCTTCCACAGCTGTGGAAATCTGCCATTGTTCTCCCTTTCCGCAAACCGGGTACTACGGGACATGAAGCCTCCCACTATCGTCCCATTACTCTTACCAGTGCAGTTTGCAAAGTGATGGAACGTCTGGTAAATAGACGTTTAATGTGGTATTTAGAGACACACACTAGTCTCTCCACTCGTCAATATGGCTTTCGTAAGGGCCGTTCTACCATAGACCCCTTACTACGCTTGGATACGTATGTTCGTAATGCCTTTGCAAATAACCACTCAGTTATTGCCATATTTTTTTGACCTTGAGAAGGCATATAACACAACTTGGAGGTATAATATTTTGGCCCAAGCCCACTCCTTAGGCCTTCGAGGCAATCTACCATCCTTCCTTAAGAACTTTTTAACTGACAGACATTTCCGTGTTCAGGTTAATAATGTGCTCTCCCCGGACTTTGTCCAAGCTGAAGGTGTCCCCCAGGGATGTATTCTGAGCACAACACTTTTTCTCCTTGCTATAAATGATTTGGCCTCTAGTCTTCATTCAATATTTGGTCATCACTCTGTTGATGACTTCGCTATTGCCTGTGCAGGCGCTGACTGTCGCCTCATTACAGTTTCTCTCAAGCATGCGGTCGACCGTGTTTCCAATTGGGCCACCACACATGGGTTTAAATTTTCCAGTACCAAAACTCACTAGAAGCTCTGTCATCTCCGATCATCCTTTATACCTCTATGGCACCCGTATCCCTGAACGTGATACTGTCAGGTTTCTAGGCCTCCTCTTTGACCGTAGGTTATCCTGGAAACCTCACATTACTTCTCTGAAGACAACTTGTCACAGCCGGCTGAACCTCTTAAAACCCTTGCTCATCTTTCATGGGGAGCTGATCGTCGAACTCTCCTTCGCCTACATTCCACCCTCATTTTATCGAAACTTGACTATGGTGACCAGATCTATTCAGCTGCCTCTCCTGCTACTCTAGCTAGCCTCAACCCTATTCATCACCAAGGATTACGTTTATGCCTTGGTGCTTTTCGCTCTTCCCCTGTTGAGAGCCTCTATGCAGAAGCGATCGTTCCATCCTTATCCGATCCCCGTGATGCCCATTGCCTTCGCTGCTATGTACGCTCTCATGATCTCCGCAATCCTTCCATTTATAGAATGGTCACCGATATTAGTAGACATTCTTTATTTGTTCGCCGCCCATGTTTGCTCCGTCCCTTCTCTTTTCGCCTACATTCTCTCTTGTCTTCTCTTCAATTTCCACCTTTCTATGTTCATGTAGCATCTCGCTTTTCCCTACCCCCCTGGGAAGTTCCAGCTGTTCGAGTCTGTTCTTTCTCACTCCCTTGCTCGAAAGCCCAAATGTCTACCGTAGCTTCCCGCTCTCTTGTTCTTGACCACTTCCACTCTCATTCTCATGCCATTGCAGTGTACACAGATGGCTCTAAGTCTTCTGACGGCGTAGGATTCGCAGCAGTGTTTCCGGACAGCGTCGTACGAGGGCATTTACTATCTTCGGGTAGTATCTTTACCGCTGAATTGTATGCCATTCTTGCAGCACTTATCCGTATTGCATCTATGCCTATGTCATCATTTGTGGTTGTCTCAGAC